CCCTCTCAGGTTGGGTTATCCCGCCATCCCCCTCTTTCTAACTTTGCGCTTCTCTCTCTCTCTCTTTCTCTCCCTCCCTCTCTCTTTCTCTCTCTCTCTCACTCTTTCTCTCGATATACCTGGCTCCGATGCTGGCTTTCTTCTTTTTTCCTCTGCGCTTTACACACTCGTCACCTGCTCGCTTCTCGCAACCCTCCCGTTGCGACGACGAACGCGTGGAATGGGACGAGCGAGGTTAATTTCCGGTCGCGAAATCGACGTCCTGTCGGAATTCTCACGTCGACATCGAGGCGCGAACTCGCATTCCTCGCGAGCGGTTCTTTGGAGTCCACGACGTATATATCTCTCGCTCAGAGACCTCTATCGAAAGGGTGGTCTTATCGCACTTGTGTGGAACCGCAGTTGCGCGAACCGAGCTGCTTTCCCCTCTTTCTCCCTCCCCCTCCAAACCCTCTTTCCGTATACGGGATGGCTCAAAACTCGCGCGCGCATTTTCTATTAAAAGTTACATCAAGAATAATGATTGTTTCGATATCAAGACGGCATCGCTTCTTACATCAATAGTTTTTGAAATTTAAAAATTGTCGCGCGCTAAACTTTCAAGATTTCGGTCGCATATACATATAACGATATGTAAGAACATAAGCATAGAAGAATTCCATTTTTTATTTAACTTTAAAATAGACTTATTTTAATAAAACATTTATTTACGAATTTATCAATAAGATAATTAATACAATTAAAAGTTTAAAAAGTTTATGAAATTAAATGACTTAATAATATTTTCGTAAATAAAAATTTTTAAAATCTTTTAGAGAATATATAATAGAAAAGATATTCATATATACAGTACCCTATATACATCAGGCATGTGTACGAACTTTGGTTTCGTGCAGATGACGACCGATGTTGAAGAGGAGAGAAAGGAATCATTGAAAGTGGAAAGACGCTTTAAAGTACGGTTGTTGTTCGAGCAGAGATTTGTTCGGGTTTCATGCAATAATAATCACACGTCGTACGTGTCGATCACGATCGCCATCTCGTACTTGCGACAAACGAGACGCCCGACAAATATTGTACCTTCGCGCGAGCTTAATAAATAATCGGATTGCGGCGTACGTCCTGACCAATCGGCAAATGGGACGAGACTTACGTCGCGGAAAATACCGTATTGATCGACGGACGGACCAATCTGGCGCCAACTTCGAGAGGATCGCAATCACACGGCGCTGTATTTGAAACAGCCCGCTATAAACGTTAGAAATCACTTTAATGTTTTAGGAAAAGGAAGATTTCTCTAATCTTTAAAATTATTTTCCAAATTTGTTTTTTGAAAAATATGCTCAGATATTTCATTCTCTATTCTGTACATACATCGTATAGTGATTCGTACATTTCGAGAGTGTAAAATAAAATTTGCGACATCAGAAACATTCATCTTTCTATCTTTCTCTAATCTTTATAACTCGTCAATATTGCCTCATTATATATAAACTTATCGTTATAATCAAAAAAATTATGCGTATAAAGGACTCATCGGAAAAAAAACTCATAGTGTTCCAAACTCTTCTAAATATTTGATTTACGCAGTTGTACGAAACGCATATAAATTTCACGATTCTCTGATCATGTACCAGCGTTCATGAAAATAGCTTGCACGAAATTAGGATACGCTGAGTAAACGCGGTATATGCTTACTACACTCGTTCGTATAATTCTACGTGAAATACTCGGTAAATCACCTTATCGTGATTACTCTCCAAGATCGTAGAAACTTCTGACGGTGGGTGCGCGCCATTCCTTCGACATTGCTAAAGTTTTGTATAGTCGGGTACGTCACGTGGCGCATTCATTCGCATATTAGGGGTCACCCAATTTTCGAAAATTCCTCTTTTCTTTATCGATGAAACAAACAAACTTAACGCAAAAATATCGAGGAACCGACGGTGACAATAATAATGCACACATCTTTCTTTCTAAAATTATATCAAAGTTAATAAACTTTAAAATTTCATTAAAACGATTTAGATAAGTAATCTATATTGTATATCTATGTATATCTGCCTATACTATGGAAAACGAATTTAAAAAACCGTGTGAAATTGGTCCCTTCTGACATCATTATAATCATAGTTATGAATTTGTTCCGTGCTTTATTACAATCGTGACGTTGTATTTTCACGTATATCGTGAATATAATTACGTAAATTAATGTCAGAGTCATTGTTGATGAGTATACAAATAACTTTAATGTAGTCGCTCGATAAAAGCCTGCGGTGCTGCATTTGGCCATGCATAACGGCATATTACCACTGCGCGTCTGACTATATACACGGAGTAGCTACTGTTGACACTTACTACTGCCCGTCAGACATGTCTTATACATGTGTTTACTTACTACTTGCAGAACGAAAGACGACAAAGAATACGAAATTTGTTTATATATAAAATGGCAATTAATGTTAAAACACATTTTAATATATGCAGAGCATATCTCTTTCATACACGCTGGAACAACATAACAGATTAGAGAAAAACGTACAAATAAAATAAATTAAATCGTACAAAATGCGATGTAGATTCTTTATCGTCTATGGTAATTTTGTATTATTTTTCTTCTTTAATTTATATAATTAGTCATTAATTTATATGCCAAATGACAGTACATTTTTCTTCCTGTGATTCATTTATGAAATGTCTAAACGGTGTTTAGAATATGATAAGCAATCGATAAAGAAATCTGATTTAAATAAAAATGATAGAATATAATCTTTTTACATTAATTATAGTATCAATGTAATTCTCGTATAAATTATTTTAGATTCTAACGGAAAAAAACATTCTTATTTCTAAATTGAATGAACAGATCAAGGAATCTACCACAGACACAAAAGTATCTAATATACTTTTATCACACGATATTTAACAATTAAAAGATCACGTCTAATTTGCATGCCACAATATAAAATGACACAATACATAGAATAGTTATAGAACAATTCTTTACAATAATAATCACTGTACATGAAATTCTTTACATGAAGAACACATAACAATTACATTGGACAAATGTTCTTGTATTCACTGGTAAAATTGCAAAAGAATATAATGAATAATGTTCCAGCTTTAAAAACAGTAAAAAATTACTTGTATGTTATAATATTTACCAAACTATATTTTATCAATAAATAAATTTAAAAAATATGTTTAGATTATAGATAGATAATCGGAAACTTACTTTTTTTGACAATATCTAAGAAAATTTATTAATTATATGTGTAACTTGTTTATGCGTATTATATACATAAATTATAAAAATTTGGCACATATCAATAATATATTACCTACATACATATAAAACATATAATATAACAGATCATAATATTATACATAATAATGAATGAGACTATAACATATCACGAATATCAAAAATATGAATAATACAGACTTACAGAATTTGAAAGAAATATAAAAAATACCATACTAAAAAATAAAAATAAGACATACAAAAAAGATACAGACTTACAAAAAAAGTCATGATTTTTTAAAAAAGTTTCCTATTTCTTGTCTCGAGCCCTTTAATAGCGTGAAAAAAATGAATACTTGCCGTAAAAACATTATTTTCTATTTATTATAATAGCAAAGAAATATAATTTTTTCAAAAAATAAAAAAGGAATATAGGAAATTTTTTAGATTTCAAAACTTTTACATTATTTGATCACTACCTATACACTCTGTGCAATATTCTTTATTAAATATATTTCATTATTAATCTTATATGGTTAAAAGATAAAAGTTATTCAATCTATCTCCTATATAAAAAAATGCATTCCATATGTACAAGTTCTATAATTAACATCTATCAAATTATACTTTTACCTGAAGAACGCGCGACTTGCAAAAATATTTTTAAATATTTGAAATCTAATTGCTCCTTACAACTTTTTCAAATAGATAAAAAATTATTATATAGAAAATCAATTTTAATATTAAATGTATAAACTCATATAGATCTATGCTTTCACATTTGCAAATATTACAAAAAAGATTTCATTTTTGTTAATATTCTTAGAAGTATTATGTGATGTTTAAAATACCATAATGTAAAAAAACTATAAAAATAATAATAAATAAAATAAAATATAATATTACACTATATATATATATATATATATGTGTATGTGTGTGTATATATATATGTATATAGTGTTGTTAAAGCATTATGTTATCTTTCTAATTTTATCTTAAATATATACATTATTTTGATCATCATACACACAATTTATATTTATAATATATTTATAATATGTATGTATATGTAATGTGTGTTATATATGTACTATGTACTTATATATGCTCCTAATTACGGCAGTAATTCAATTATATATTATATTATACAATATGGCATAATAAAAAATATGCTATATTATAGATTATAATATATATTCATATAGTATACACTGATCATATTTACAAAATTTTCTGTCTTTTTGGAGCATTAAATGTTTCACAGATTGCAACACTGATTACTATTACACTTAAAAAAGATAAAGAACATAAGCTAAAAAAAAAGAGAATCATTTACAATTATGTATTCACATATATTAATAATGCAGATTATTTTATCATCTTCTCTATAATATTAGTCATGAAATTATTTTGATCGTCATTATAATCATTGTCATTAAATATCTTGCAGAGATAAAAAAAACTGGACACTATTCAATTACATAAGGAGAACCTTGCACTAATTATTTGTAAGATACATTCAATATTTGTTCATGTTTTAATCATTTGTACAATTTATCTATTTATTGACATTTTTTTGATAAAATCCCTATTATATAATTAAACTCTTCATTATGTTCTTGAACTTTTTGTACACATTTTGTAAAATGTTTTGTAATAATTTAGAATTGCATAAAATTGTATCAAAGTCATATAAATCTTATTCTACAATACCTACACAAAAGTCTATACACGCGCGTAAGTTTCCTCTTCATATAAATTTGAAACATTTTTGCTTGTCATGTGGTATTCGTGTCTTAAATAGTATGGAATCTGCTCGATATTGCGTATTCAATAGCGGCATATATCCGAAAACCTAAGATCATCATATCGAATAACGTGCATTATATTGTCTTAATTTAGTTATATAATTAATAATTAAAAATTTTTTGTTTACCTGCGAGAAGAAATTAATACACTTATGTCTCTCCTGAAAATGAGTATCATCTTCTGAAAGCGAAACTGGGCAACCCGGACATCTAAATGTCCAACGTGATGTTACCTAAATGCATAGATATTATGTAAATTTGTAATGTTTAATTATTAGAATATAAATAGAAACAAAAATTGTAACATTTGTGTAAAATCTAAATTAAGAGATTTAAAATATGATTTAAGATATTAGAAAAAGAGAGAAAATAATGTAGCATTAAATAATTCTCTTTAATATTATTAAAGATAATATCTTACTTTAACTGGTGGTTTCCTTGTAAGATGAGATATTAAGAAATTCATAGCTATATCTTCACAATTCATATATTCATCAACTTTATCTCTTATTGACTGTGGTAACCAATATGTATATAGATATGTATAATATTTGTGTATGAAAGCAGCTCCGGTTAAAACCATGGATAACTCGCAAGAATAATTAGAATTATAATTCCAAGCGTTATGATAATTCTGGTCCCATGCGTGAAAGCGACCAGGGAATCCAACTATACGATCTCGATGTTCCCTCCATACTCTGTAAATCACATGTAATAGATATCAAACATTATCTACATTGATCAATAAAACTGTGCATAAAATCGACTTACCTGAAACCAAACATGATCTCATCATGCCTCAAGTGAGCATCATCGTCAACAGAAAGGACGGCTTCTGTTTCAATTGCATCGAATGGAAGGAATCTATTATTCAAACTGTTTCTTGAAGCCTTTATGACCTGTTCAAACATATTTAAAAGATATTTTTATGTAATTTTTAGAGAGATATATTCTACAGAATAATATGTATATATATAAATTACGCTTATATATTACATTTATTGGAACGCCGATGTCAGGCCATTTGAGATCTTCCGCGGGTGGTTTTGGACTATTCCACACTATCAGTACTTTGTTCAAATAAGGCAAACCATAAAGACGTGCTAGCGAATTTATAAGAACTTGTTCTCTTTCGTATGTTAATATTACAATTGTAAACTGTTCTCTTGGATAGTTTCCTCCTAATGATTCACTAAACTCTTTTCCGGCACCTCCAGCACCTTTGCCAATAGGCCGAAAGCCAACTTCTGAGCCTATGAGAATACAGAAAACACAATATGGTTTAATAAAATTTATATAACACACAGCATTTAAAAATAGTGATCTTACCAAGAAATTTGGCATCACTAGGAAGAATGGTATCAAAAGGTAATTGCGGATACAAATTAAATGGATCCATCCAATCATTCCAAATTTCATGACCTTGAATTAATAATGTTGTATAATTTCTCTTAAAAGCAGGAGATGGGTACGGCGGTTCTAAAGGACCTAAGCTCTCTTCAGCTTCAGGCTCAGCGATGATGGTATCCGACTTTAAAGGCTTTTAAAATCAGATAACGTGAATTATATATATATAATCAAATCTCTCTTATTTTGTTACATTAAGATATACATACCACAAAGCTTTCGTTAAACACACTGGGACTGGGTGTTTGAGGTGCCGGTAACGGAGGTATACCGAGTCTGTCTCTGACTACCGCTATGGTAGTATCCATTACACTTTGTGCGGTACTCATAAATCGTTCCCATATTAATCTACCTTGTCTTCGCATAGTCAGAAGATCGTTGTCAGGAACAGCACGCAGTAAAAAATGCATTTCAGTCACTCTAGCCTAAAATAATATTTTTGTCAACTTTAATTCAACATCACCAAAATCAAATTTGGCAATGTTATGATGAAAATTACCTTAGGTAAAAAGATAACAGCTCTTCTCCAAGTTATAACTTCATTATAATTAAGCAAAATTTGATCACCACCGAGAATAACTGGTATTGACCCGGCTCGTAATGCTTCATATAATCTCGCTTGCATAGACGAAGTAGTCAATAATGTGACATTGCTAGGAGCTAAAATCAATGCAAATGTCGATTCTTTTAGTATGGCTCGTCTAGACGAATCAGTTCCACAGAGCGACCAATCAAGAGTCTGTACAGGTTTGCTTTCCACAGAGGCTGGTATACATTCAAATTGAATATAAAACTTATCCAAAGTTATTCCATTGCTCATATCTTTCAAATGTTGAATGATAAATGAGTCTATATTATTATCATCGACCAATGATTTTTCCAGATCTATGTCTGAATCGTCGATTTGATGTGTCATTGGAGTGCCTTTAAAAGTTCTCATTTCTCCCTGAAAGGACAACAAATATTTTCTTCTCGCAGGCAGCATTTGTGCACATTCTTGCCAAACATCTCCACCAGGTGGTCCCAGAATTGGTGGAACAATTAAATCAAAACCATCGCGAAACTGATTTCTATGAAATGTTGATTGCACTACTATTGCTCTCCCGGTATCCAGATTACTAAAAATATTTCCAGAATCTGCAGACAAATCTCTCCTTGCAAGATTTAACAATATATGATTTCTACCATCTCCCCCCCAATAGGGAAGTGCGTTGAGTTTTTTTGTATCTAAAGAATTGCTGTAACGTTGATCACTCTTTTGTTGGGAGCTTAATGCTTCACCAACTAAAACTATGTAGATACATGCCTCTGCCGGATTTCTAGTAAGATGCGGATTGTATCCTATATAATAAATATATTATATAAAATAATTTAGCATAAATAAATATTTTACCAAATAAAAATATTTTTAATTACAGCTTGTTCATATATGTTAATTACATACCTAATGTTTGTTTAATAGTCGTTTTTAAGAAACCATCTACATCCCATCCTGGATTAACTACCGAGAATTGATCTGGATCATACAAGTACACAGGAAAGCCACTCGTCAATGCACATCGACTATGATCAAAACAATTATACATTTTACATGATCGTGGATCTGTACTGAGTAATATAATTGGAGTACTATTAATCAATATTCTCTTAGGAGGTGCCAATTCCGGCGTATTCCTTTCAACTGCTTCTCTTTGTGCTACTTGTGCTTGTTCCACGCTTATTTTTAATCTGTTGAGATCTGTTTGTTGATGTAATAATTCTTGTTTTAATTCGTCTATTTTTTGCGTTAAACTATTAACTTCACCTTGAAGTCTTTGTCTTTTAGCACTTAAATCTCTCAATTCGTTGCTCACTGAAATTTTTATATGAAACATTTCCTCTATTCGCATCTTCAATTGTGATGCTTTCATAGATGTAAAATCTTCAAAGGCTTCAAGAGTTGAAAATGTTCTATATATATCTCTATCTGGAGCATCAGATTCCACCTAAAAATAAATTCATAATTAATATAAAGCATCACGGAATCTTGAAAGCTCCTCCACTTTCATCTTCTTTAACATACCTTGGATAAATAATAATGTGTAAATAAAGGCACAATAAATAGAACTATGGATGTCAAAATTATTATTCTAGACAGTTTGACATGTGCCAACCATTGACATATTTCTCTGCCAGTGCTATTAGAGTGATGATAGAATGGGAGTGCTTCATAAATATTTCCTGCCATATTTATATGAAATTATTACGTATCTTCATCTATATGGCTGGACACTTTGATACATCTCTTCAAATTTCTGCAAAGAATAATACACATTTGTGAGATCACGTTAATAAATATTTAAATAGCTTGACGAAATAAAACGAAGAAGTTTTCCTTTTTATTTCATATATATAAAAACTATGTCACGTTGTTTACGTGTCTTTGCATAAAGTTTGATTTAAGAAACAATAATCGCGTTATACTTGTGAAAAATCGTTTTTTATGTTGATATCGTTTAACATATATCATTGTGTACGTACCATCAGTAACCTATACGATCCAATCGCTGCCACTTTTCCGACAACGAAACTGAACAGGATTACGGTTTGATAAATAAACATGATAAGCGAATCGAGACGAATCTTACGACATCTCGCTCTTGTCCAACTTCAACGAACAACACTTACTGTTAGCGGAATCACATATCCATTCTCATCTTACTCGCGGTCACATATCGAAGTAGTTCTGAGAGACAAAGTTTCTCACTCACACTCTCTCATATACGTAATATATATTATCTGCTTGGTGTAGTCTACAGTTTTTTTTTATACAAAATTCATTGTTATTAAAACCATAGATTTAAATCGCAATCCATTCATATTGGAAATGGCGAAAAAGTGTCACACTGTGCTGAACAAATAATAATTGTTTTAATTATTTGTGTATCAACAACAATTATCGAAGTGCAAATCGAAATCTCGATCCTCGATCACTGTCATCGCTTGATACCACCTGATACGTGATACGCGCACAAACTGTTCGATTCACGAGAATTATATCGCTTCCGATATAAAACTTGGAGAGTAAATCTCCCGTAGGATTTTTTGTCTACGAATTTTTTCTTAGTAGATGTAAATATATAGTTTATCGCAAATGTCTTTCACACAGTGTCAAGCTGATTTAAGGGAGCAGATGCACTTGGAAATGATTAAGAATACCAAATTTTTTTTTCTTTAAAAAAGAAGTAGTATGGATTAAAATATAGCCAAACATATGAAAAAAAAAAGCGAAAAAAGAAATTATTCGGATATGCTAATCCAATATATATTGAGAAAAAGAAACATAAAAATAGATAATATTGCCGTATGATTTCGCAACCGCTCTCTTAAATAACCCGCTATATCGTATCATACCGTCCTGGTTTGCTCCGGTAACGTTTGGTGGCATCCCGCGCATATATATATGTACTACATCCACTATTATATGTATGTATGTACTACATCCACTCGATGTATTTGCATTTCTCGAGACCTTCACAGACATGCGCATGTCACGTCGAGTGTAGTGCGAGGGGAATAATATTTTGGCTTTTTCGGGGGCCTAAAATTAGCCGAAAAATGGTAAGCTTTTAAAGAGGCGTGATTGTACATTGAGTATTACGCTTTACATCAAATTGTCAATTAATCAAATCCGGTTTTCTCCCTGAGATTTCGTCGTACCGTTTTCATGTTACCACAATAACCTATTCTTGTATATGATGTTAATGATTTTGACATTTGGGCTTTTCCTGTTTTCTCTGCCCCTCTTCAAAAATACGTCGAATTAAAATACTATTTGAGGCAACATAAAATTATGCCAAAGTGTACTTTGAATGTGTCATGGGAACTTGAATCTTCTTACATATATCATATTACATGATGGTATTTACAGAATGTTGATATAATTCTTTGAATATAAGTATAACAAACATTATTTAGAAATGTTTAATTATAATAATATAATGTAGAACTCATATTGTCATCTTTATATGCACATTACTTTTATAATCAAGTAAGTAATGAGCTTTCAAAGTATGACTCTATTTCATTCAAATTACAGCATAAATTAAAGTTTTCACAAAGAGACAAAGTGAAAAAATTTATAACATTTACACAAACTGGAGAGCAAACTGCAATATATTGTCTGGCTCAAAATGATTGGAAGCTTGATCTGGCAAGCGACAATTACTTCCAAAATCCAGAAGCTTATTATAAAGAACCAAAAAATTCTGTTGACAAAAAGAAATTGGAAATATTATATAGCAAATACCAAGGTAAAATTGCAAGTATGATATATGATTGCAACTTTATATTTTATTATTTATATTTAATATTATAAAAAATAGAATATTATAATCAATTATATATTTACAGACCCAAGTGAACCCAATAAAATTACGGCAGATGGTATCATGAAATTTCTGGATGATTTAAATCTCAGTCCTGAGAGTAAATTAGTTTTGATCATTGCGTGGAAATTTCGTGCCGAAACACAATGTGAATTCACTAAAGAGGAATTTATGAATGGCATGATAGACTTGGGGTAAATATCAATTTTGATGTATACTTATAACAATCATTAAATCCAAATTATAATTATTTTCATAATTATCTTTTTCAGTGTGGATAGTATAGATAAGTTAAAAGCGCGTTTAGGTAGTTTAGAAAATGAATTAAGGGATCCTCTAAAATTCAAGGATTTCTATCATTTCACATTTAATTATGCAAAGAATACAGGGCAGAAAGGTTTAGATTTGGACATGGCCATCGCTTATTGGAATATTGTATTAGATGATAAATTCAAATTTCTTCAATTATGGTGTCAGTTCTTACAGGTAAGCACATATATCTGAATATTATTTTTACATTTATTTTTTGTGTACAAAGAGAAAATAAGAGAGAGTTATTTTAAAATAATTACTGATATCTTTTAGGAACATCACAAAAGATCAATTCCAAAAGATACATGGAACTTACTATTAGACTTTGCACTTATGATCAATTCAGATATGAGTAATTATGACGAAGAGGGTGCCTGGCCTGTACTAATTGATGATTTTGTAGAATGGGCACAACCTCGAGTTCGTCAATCTCTCTAACGTTTTTTTCTTCTTTTTCTTTTTTTTTTGCAACACTCGTCCAAATCACTCATACAAATGATAACTTTATTTGTGCGATTATGAAACGTATATTTTTCAAGTATTTTATTAAATAACATTTCTTTTCAGTAATATAATATCAGCTTACTTTTCTTTCGTAAATAATTACAGATAAATTAATATTCACAATATAAAGAATCATAGTATATATTATATAGCATCTAATATGCATTCTCAACAATATTTACAATACATTGTTTAATTATATTATTTTGTTTGCTAAAACATGCAAAAAAGGTGAAATATCTTTTGAGTGTTCGCTTAAAAAGAATAACGTTATTTACTTATATCATAAATTTAATTTATATCAAGCCTCTATATTAACCACACATAGAGTACCACAAAATTGTCATATAATTGTAAAATAATCTGATTGTAATTTTTTATTTATTTTTTGAAGAGAGAAAATAAGCATTGCCTTGAAATTGATCATATTGTACAAAGTAATATGATGTATAAAATGTTTATTTACATATGAAAATATGGGAAAAAATTGCTCAATTACCTCTGCCAGATACATGTTTATGTATTTGTTGGTACTTGCAAGCAGTTCTTAAAAAGAAAAAAGATATTTAATTTTTAAGCATTCTTTTAAAATAATATGGTAATTGGAAACAAAATTGCTAAATTAGGCTATACATTCTTGTGTAGATAGTAATTTCTAGAAATTGTGTTGTTGAAAATTGTTATTAAATAAATTCTATGATACTCTATTATACAACAATTAATAATGTACATAAGAGCATAAAAAAAGAGAAAGAAATCTGTATTTTAGAAACATTATTCTATTTCGGCATTCTACTTATCTTTTATAATTAATCAAATTAATTACACAGAGAGAGAGAGAGAGAGAGACAGAAAAAAAATTATTTTTTGTACTTTAGATAATTATTTATTATTATATTTCTGAGACATAATTGTTCTAGATAAAATACATTATTTTTTCTATAAAACCAGAAGATAATTTTTATTTATGAATGTACGATATAATATTACATTTTGTAATAGTATTCTTTATACAAACAGATTTGATTCTCTTAACAAATTTGTCATCATTATTTTGTACATTAGACATTTGTCTTTATAACAATGTTCTATATAAAGCCATATATATATATATTTGTTTCCTCAATAATATAGCGATTTTTATTTACACAAAATATATCCAGATTGTAGAGATATCATAATGTAAAAAATTATTTACTATCACAGATTGAGAGAAAACTAAGCTGTTAAGAAATCAAAATATTGTAGCGACTCTTATATAATATTACAAAGCCACGAAAACGAAACTTTCGAGTAAAATTGTATTGTCCACACGTTTTTGATTATATTTTATAAGCATAATGTGAAATAGACGAGGAAAGCAAATCTCAATGAGATAGCGTAAACTAATTAATATGTAGTTGTTACATATCGCCAGGGGTACGTTTGCGCAATGCTAAACTTGTTCAAAAAAGGATATATATGGTATCCATTTAAAAACTGTTATTTAAAATGATATTCTCCAAAATAAATCAGATTATTTTATTAGTTTCAGCATTGTGTAACAATAAAGCGTTTTATCAGCCTTAGAAGAGAAACAGAGAGAAAGTAAATTGTACATAATGTAAATAAATATATCGGTCTTAATCTATACATTCAGTTTGTCTGTTTAAAAACTGCTGCTAAATACACATCGTGTATATTACTTATATATGTGTTTAAATAAAATGTTCTACTAAGTATATACAATTATATTTCATGTATATTGTATATGTATTACTTATATATTATTTAAAAAGATAACAGTTTTTTATTTATATTTAAGTTTATATCTATATGATATCGGCAATAAAATAAGGTAATAAAATACCTCAGTATTCAGTTATAGAAATTTATAATTATGATTATATATTTAAATTATATTTTACAGAATTGTTGACATTCGCATAAAGCTCTATGATTATGACCACTGCATTCTGCATTATAGGAATATAAAAAAGCTAATTCATACTTATTAGCTTGTGTATTGTAACAATTCTTTAATACTTCCTCAGTATACCAGTTGCATAGTGATTCCAATCTATCAATAGTTGTCTGTATCATATATTTTCACAATTATTAGCGGAAGAGAAACTTTCGTTATTTATGTTGTATTGCTTATAGTGTTAAGTTGCTCTTTCTCTGATATATATTTCACAAATAAACTTTTTTCTTTTAAATTTATCTGTGCTTACCTGAGCAATGACTAATCCGCGATTTGAATTACTAGCAGTGATGTGACTGTGTGAATCAAACAACGTTACCTATGGATAAAATTATTCTATATAATACATACACACATATACATATATATTCATATATATTTTTTCTCTCGGCTGAATTACTTACCTTATAGGTAATTTCTTGAAATATGAATAATATAGTGCGTCCGCATGTGATGAGCAGCATAAATAAAGTATGAGATTTTGGAATTTTATACCATTCATATAGAAATGTATTTATATTTTTGTACAAGCTTATTCCTATTTCCTCGTGAAAGACATTAAATTTCTGCGACAAAATTATTACACATATTATCTAATAAGCGTAAAAAAGATATACTCATGAAAATTCTACTTGCTTAGATAGGAATGGATTATATGTATAATTTGTTTTGAATATTACTGACACGTATCGTACCCATTCTTTTAATATGTTTAGGCTTTTGCCCCCATATTTCAGAGCTTCCTCAGTACTTAAATATGGATGCGATATAAGTCTTTCCTTAATAAGCCATGCATGAATCGCATTACCCTCTATCATCGCTTCTGCTACAATAATATTCAATCTCGGACAGTTTTCTATATCGTGAATCGATAAATGTTCTCTTGATATTCGTACGGCCACAAGCAAACATATCAGTGTACAAGCTTCGCTTACTAAAGGATTGTTCAGTACATCAAAAAATAGATATATATACTCAATATTAAAATATCTGATATAGATAAAATTATGCGTAATTACTTTCTTGTCCTGGTGGATAACGGCTTTGCGTAAAATCGGAGTGATACCACAACACATCTATTTCGTGAGAACAGTCTTTGACATATGTTGGGAAGTGACAGCTAAATAGTGGTGGTAAATTCATAATTACAAGAGTATTTCTATATATTATTCCATATGTCTCCCATTACTTATTAATTTTGTTATCAAATACATCTTTTTTGCAAATTTTATATTTCCATCCCAAAAAAGTTTGAAAATATTAAGACATTCTGAATGTCAAAATTTTGTACAATAGTACGTTTTATGTGTGTATGTGTGTGATTGTGTCTAGGATAAAATAATTGAATATTAAAGATGCTGCATTCACAATAGATACAAGCTAAGCAATTACTTTGTAGCAATCGAATCAATCGATTTAGTACACAATATGATCCTAAAGAGAAAATGTTTGTAAGTAATAATCAATGACATTTAAACAAAAAAACTTGTTTAATATTTCTTAGATCTCTGCACAATTGATAAGAATAAGACAGTTTTTCAACAATATAGTATTTTAAATTTCGCCTTCTTCCAGAAAATATTTTCATCAAAAGTAATTTTCAAAATATTTTTTAATATTCATTATATATTTATCAAATAATAAACACATTTTATTAATTTCATTTTTGTCATATTCTTATTTAATTGCAATGATATATACATTAATCATTTTAATATTTTAAAAATAATGATTTTTAAAATTTGATGTAGATTTCACTATTATAGAATTGTGTAAAAAATGAGCGATTTTTTCAGTGTTTAAAAAGCAATGAATGTATATATGTATGTGCACAAAATATCTTTTTTTAATATGTGCAGTTTCCTTTATATAGAACACTTTTTTTCCTAAGTAAGATGTAAAATCTATACATTGAGAAATAATGTATCATTTTACAAATGATGAAACTAACAAATAGTCTATTCAAGAAATAAGTGGCTATTCAATACAACTTGTATTTTCGAAATAATACATCAATAGAATAAATTAAATTCTGTGGATATAAAAACACAAAAAGATATATTTATATATATACATATAATTTACTGTAAAAATAAAAATATGATTTAAATGAGGTACCACACAAACATTCGACTGTTGATGAGATAAATTAAATAAGACATGTTGTGTGATAATAGAAACGAATATTTTATAATAACTGTAAAAAAGTTAGCAAAAAAATCAAAATTTTAAATTAATACAATGACATTAATGAGATATATAGTATCTTTTGTAAAATGCAATGATAAAAGATAGTGTTTTAAATTGGATACTAACTCAAATTTAAAAAACCTTTAATTAGTTTTTCCTTTATAATACTAACAATATACTAATTCCCATGAATAAGAAAAAAAAAACACATTTTACATTGTTATTGCTTATATTATATTTGTTTTTCGTAAATTTTAATAAAATTATTTTCGATAAAATTATTCCAGTTTTCATGAAGCAAATCACATAATTTATTTTATGAGTTTAGTACTGTGTGCAATTAATCTTCTAAATGATTAGTTTATTATGAATAAATTTATATTTCTCTCTAAATGTATATTACACCTGACACAAACGACAGCACTGTTATTACAAAGATGCATTGGAAACGATTTTTATAATTCTTTTCACCTTATCACACCGTAACACATTGGGTTCATAAAATCTGAAAGTAATAAGATAACATGTTTATATATTTGATATTACATCATATCATGTAGCAAACACTCAATTAGATTTTTTCTAAATTAAACAAATGAATATATATAGATACTTTAAAACATATAACGGTAAACGAGTACATTTTTGTAGATATTTATTATCATACATTTTAAAAATTCGAGATCATACTAAAGTAAATAGTACTCACCAATGATCAAAATGATCTATATGTGGTTGGGTAACGTGTTGGTATACTTGAGGTGAGGAGACGTGACCAATGTTTCCATCCCAGAACCTTTGCAATTTCAATGCACTTTTCATCAATTTCCTTCAATGGTTTCTCCTCATAATAACGCGTCAATAATTTTAAGTAACGCCCATAATGATTATTAATGTGTGCGTGCCATAAAGATAAAATAATGACCTAGAAAAATGTAAAAATAAATCTTCTTTGTTACATTTTACAATATATTTACAGATTAATTAATGTGTTTATTCAATTAAATATTTTGACTTTACATTCCTGTGCAAATGTGTATTCTTCTAACATATAAAAAAACTCCAATTTTAAAAGATAATTTAAAAGACAATAATAAAATAACTTTTACCTTACTATCAGTAGGTTCAGCAAATTTCTGTACTTCTTGCCAGTGATGCGTAACACTTTCGAGTAAATGTTGAAAAGATCGATCTCCCTCCCCAGTCTTTGTTCCATGTATGTATAATCGTGCCAATGCGCAACCTTTCTTCACTAATCCCTCGATCAAACTGTTCTTTTGCTTTTCCATGGTTATCTTGATTTTAGCCGCGTCAGGACGTTGATCATTCTTCAATCCGTAATACGCTAATAACTTATCTTGATCGATATTTGTAATCACAGAGTCAGCGACTGTTACTATTTGATTAGCTAATGCAATAGCGTTTTCGGAAAGATCGTCGTGCGGTACATGTCGCCGTGCTTCAGGAGAATCCAAAGATGTCAACATGGCAGTGTGAACGGGTAAATGATCCGAAAAGATACCTTTTAATTCCCCGTATAGCGAATTGGCATGTTCGCCGGGTTCTGTTACACCAAAAAAAAAAAAACCAAACAAAGAAAATTCGTCAATATCATTTTTCAAAAATAGATTTTCGATTAATATGTAACAAATGTTATATACATAAGAGACCATAAATGTTTATATAAATGTATGTATATATCTATATTACATTAACAATAAGAAAAGACAAAATTTACAAACAGATTATATATGCTATTGGCAAGTATGGAGTAATGAGTAATAGAATAAAAATTGTAATTATGGATGTACGTTATTTAACATATAAATATACATAAAAAATGATAGATACATGTAACAATTGCAAATACATGCTTTAAAATACACATGTATTCTTATAAGGAGAGATAATAATATGGAAAAGAGGAAAACAAATCATAATATACATAAATTTTAAACTCATAACCCAACTTACTTATAGATGGTGCTATTGGTAGAATATAAACCGGAAAAAAGAAGACACAAAATATTTATATAATAATACTAATGTGAATTACTCTATAAATGACTATAAATCTATTGTGTATATCTAAAAACATCTATAAGTATATATAAATATTAGATTACCAAATTTTGCAAGATAATTGCACTTTAGATCTCTTATTGCTTCTTGATATTCATCCCACTTTGTAGTTTTCTCCTTCTCTGTTTTAGTAGCAGGACTACTATTTTTCTTGGCAGGTTCAGATATGATATATTTGAATATGTGACTATCCACCTTCTTTCCAATTTCATCTTTAGAGAAAGTCAATGTACCTTGAAGATAACTACCAGGGGTAGCATATTTCGATACTCTTTGCAAAAAGAAAAGAAAAATATTTATTAAAATGTGTAATTTCAATAAATCGAAATTATTTTATATATAAACTGAAATTATTTTGATAGTAAATATTGCAGCTCAGTTATATCATTTTTTCTTTTTCAATCTACATTACATGCTGAAGCCAAACAGAAGAAAAAAGTAAATCTAGCATAAAAAGAATGCAACAATAGTTGTTATATATATATGCGACAGAATATTATATTCCTGCAGAGAAATAATACATTTTTTCATTAGTGTATGAATTACGCTAATGTACAAATTGACATATAATCCAAAAGCTAAGTATATGTGAGAAAAATTAAATAATTTCTTGTGGAATAAAATATTCGCCAGTAATTGAATGATAGAACTTGAAAAGAGGACTATAGAAATATACAGATGAGAATATCTATAAAGTTCTCTAAAATTTGTGAACAAAGGAACAATATGCCGAGTTTTAATTGAAAATAGCAGTGAAAACAAAAGCATATATTATTGAGTAATACATAGGCAAATTTCTTTTATCGAAATTTAATCTATGTGTATTATTTAGATATGTAGTGTATACAAATTAAAAATTATGTATAAAAACAAAGAAACAGAAAAGAAATTAAATTAAATAAATATTTGCCTGTGTTCCTAGAAATTATCATCCTTGTCTGGCAATAAATAATATCTTGATATTGTGTATCTTGTATACAATATCTTGATTAAAGACAGACATTATCAGCATGCATTTAAAAATGTGTCAAAGCGTATAAGTGTGCAAATTTTGCAGCGAGTGTCCTTATATTTATTTAAAGCAATTTCACAAATGCAAAATGTATATAAAAATTGTATTATAGACTCACTTGTTTTCAGTGCTGCAATGTAAGATAAAAAAAAAAGAAAATTATCTTAGTAGCACTCTCTCTTTAGCACCAAATAATATATATATATTATATATATTTCAATATTTCTATATATTAATCTTCTATAAATTAATCTCTAAAAATCTAAAAAATTTTGCGGATTAAACTTTAAAAAATTTAATAATAATATAAAACATCGTATTCTTTCATTTTAAGTAAGTTTTGGCAAAATTTTAATTTGATTTTGCTCTATTGTTTAATGTTGAATGCAAGAAATTATTTAATCTTAAAAATTAAGAAGTTATGTAAAGATAGCTTCACTGATCAAAACTTTACCAAAAATAAAAAAACTCGACTCCAGATTAGTTAAAGAAAATGCATATAGTAAATTTTGCGATTCAAATTTAGAGACGTCTTATATATATATAAATTTATGTAAGAAATGCGATAAAAAATATAACTTTTATTATTCAAATATTTTTAGATCGGCATTCTAAGAAAAACCAAAAATTTCTAACTATAAAAATCACACAATACTTTACAATCAAAGCATACTACTATAATACGATATTAGCATTAAACTCATATAAAAAATTATCAGGACTATTTTTATATACAAAAAACATGTAATTTTGCTTATAATATCTTAAGCATACAATTTGTGAATGTATGTGAAATAAGTGATAAAATAATAAATTATTTTGACAACAGATCAATAAATGATATATTTCTAACATGTATTTTAATATTATGAATTATATGTATAATGTATAACATGGATACATTGTGTGTACAGTTAACAAAGTAAAAGAAATAAAAATTTAAATTGAAATTTTGGTAAAAAATAATTAATTTTAATAATCTATGTCAGTGATTTCAAAATTAGTTTTTGCAGTGAAAAAACTTGAGTAACTATCTAACTTAACCTGGGATTTTAGTTTAAACTTTAAAATTTTCTTTGTAAATGATTTGGTATGTCAGTTTTTTGTCTTTTTTTTTTAAACGAACAATTAATATTCGAGTATATTTATTATTGTGATTGCAAGAATAAATTTAAGAAACATCAAATTCCTTAAAAATACCAAATTTTGTACATATAAAAGTATTGTGAAAAAAAAGAAGTTGTACATATATTATAGATACTTACTTGCTTTCGTTGGACAATGGAGCAATATACAAAGGAAGAATATGACCAAGTGGAATAAATGCAGCAACCATCTTTTTTCCACCAATAATAGCTTGTGATTGATTGGCATAAATATCCAAATTAATTGGTGTACTAAGTTTTTGACTTAGGAGTAATGGCATATCTGTTAATCTTTCCAATAAATCTTTCTTTTCATGACGTGTATGCATTTTCAAAGTGTAGTCTCCTTTTTCTAGTTTTTGGATTGTATACTGTAACAGATTAATATTATTTTCGTGTGTTTAATGGAATTGTGGGTGATCAAACTCCATGTATTCTAGAAATTCATAAAATTATTGTTTTGTAAATATTATACATTCTTAAATATATTTTCTCTATTACATATTTAAATCCATCCCATTTTTAAATTTTTTATTTTATATATATCAACTGTATTTCTAAAAAAGATTAATGTACGATCATATAGCGATAAATTAAATATATTATATTTTTTATCATACTTTTACATAAATATTTTGGAATTTGAATTAAAATACTCACTTTAGATGGATATGCATCTCCGCAACTTATTAGTTGTTTGTTGCTATCATAAATCATCCACATTTGACTCTCATATTCATTCTCATACAACAAATCACTAAGCAATGCAGCATTTGGTGTAACTTCAGTCGCTTTTGCCGAGTGGAATGTGTACGTTAGTTGCAATTCGTATATTTGTCGTGACGGTGGAATAATATCACGTGCTCGTAAAGGAGCAATTTTCGATTCATTAGGCCTATATAATGTTCAAATGTGGCATGGTCAAATGTACCTCATAATTATTAGCGTAGAAATAAATAGGGGCATGAAAATATGTAACTTTTAATTAAGACATACTTTAAGACCTGCACAGATGTCTTTAGAGAAATATTTGGTACAACTTCTTCGTTTCTAAGAGAGCTACGTAATTCAAGGCGATTTATTCCATCCCCAGATAACATCGTAAGGTTACCATTTATCATATGAATCCCATGAAATTCTATGGAATAATCGATAAGCATGTCGCCCAAATTTGCCCAATATTTTGCAATAACTACTTCTAGAATTAATCCACCCTAAGGAAAAAAAAAGATCATAAATATATAAATTAGAAAATTTTATATAAAACTAAGATTAGTTATTTCCAATAAATTTGTATGTATTTTTAATAAAATTTTTTCATACTTGGACAGCAAATGGTTGAATAGTTTCTGATTGAGATGTAACACTGATTATTTTGTTAACTTCAAGGGTTTTGCAGGCCATGCGAGGTTTTAATTGAACAGTATGGAGCACAAATCTACCAGTCTTATCCTTTTCTGCGCTTTTTAATCTAAGAACTAAGCAAATAAAAATATAATATAAATAATATAACTCTATAATTATTTAACATTATTTATATAACTACTTAATATAATTATTTTTATATATTATTGTAATATCTAAGTTGTATTATATAACAAAACAGCTATATATAAATGTGTCTTTTCATATATCTTACCTGCCCAAGTAGCATCTTCTGGAACAAGAATAAAATGACGCTGAATTGTGTTGGGTTTGAACAAAACGTTCGTATACGTTAAGTCAGGAAGAAGCACAGTTTTCGGTAATGTCATTGGTTGGACGACAGTCACCGGAATTTGGAATACTGGTCCTTTCGCGATATTAGTAACGTCATATGCTCGTACACTAAAAATATTTACAAATTCAAACTCTCTCGCAACACATTATTTCAGAATACTTTTAATAGCAATATAAAATACATATCTACCTAGTGGCATGAACACCTTCTGGTAAATTGGATGCTTCAACTCTAATAGCGAAGGAGCGAGGCATATGCATTAAATCCAGATGTGTTGGAAATTGGACCCATGAAGCATCGCACACAAGTGTTAGCTTTAGATTAAAGTCAATTTTGCGCGATGGTTCTGCAAAACGATATATAAACATGTATTATACCATTCTATATATGACTGATTCTAAAGATGTTTCACATCAAACTTATAAAAAAAAAAAAAAAAAAGAAAAGATAGAACATTATCTTATGAAATATATATACCTATATTTTCACTATTTATGAATACTGGTTCGACTGTAATTGCATAATCCTTTGAACGATCGATAACACCTGTTCTCATATGAATGCCTTTAGAATTATTGACTCCGCAATTGATGGTAAATCGAATGTCTCTTTCGGGGGCATCGCTGTACGAAACGAGATTATCAAACGCGCGTTCAACTTGTAACAGGCCGGACCCTTGTGCGAACTGATCTAAGTTGGATATATAAAGAGCGGTATTTTCAAGAGCCCTTTTTATACTGTAAGGAGAATACGGACAACCTTTGGCGAGAAGACCTGATATAAGAACCGCTAAAAAAAAGATAATATAAGAATATTTGTGTAATTATGGGTCTATTTTAATGTTAATTGGAAAGAATTTCAATACGTACCAACAGCGCCGGTTACATGCGGGCTTGCCATACTTGTGCCATTCATAAGTTGACTTTTCCTAAGTGTAAAGTTTGGAACGCTGGTAATAGCACCTCCTGGCGCGCATACTGTTACACCGGCACCTCCATCTATCATAGGGCCGCGGGATGACCAAGTATATGGCATGCCTGGCATCTTTTCTCTTAAAGAATATTCAGCTACCATCATATCAGGTGATACATAAGCACCAACGCTAATAATACTGTTTGAACTGATGTCTGGTGGAGTTCCTATATTTTTTTTAGAAGTATTTGGATACATGAAGATATCAAGGATCATATTGCGCATTAAAGAAATTAACTCTATATAAATATATCTCGTATTTGTAACAGTAATATAAATCGTATTAAGTAATTAAGTTGATGCCAAAAAATAAAAATACAAAAAGTTAATTATAGAATTATATATATATATATATTTACCAATGGTACACAAAGCCGGTCCAAGATTGCCAGCAGATGCAACCCAAACTACACCATATTCGTCAATAACTTCATTCATCAGTTCTCCTATTCTACCAGTATTTGACCAGTGAGCGTGTTCTCCATAACTCATGTTTATCACATGAACCTTCTCTTTACGCTGCATTATATGGATCATTGCCCGTACTACGGCAGTTCCAGTTTCCATTGTACCGATACGTCCGTCACCGACTGTCAGTGATATAATCTGGGCTCCTGGTGCCACTCCATTCAATTCTGGGTTATCAGGAAAATACGCAGCCGCAATTGATGCTACATGTGTCCCATGACTTGCTGTAATAAGATTCAATCAAAAGAAACTCTACAGAAAAATTCACACTAAATATTATAAGATTTCAACACAATTTCTCCTATTATACTTACAACATAAGCTGACAATTTCTAATGTATTTCCCTCATCATGGATATTAATACTAACGTTTAATTGGTCTTCTTCAGTAAGAGGATCAAAATCTTTTGTAACAGAATATTCACCGAGAAAAACGCCATCTTCCAGATTACCTTCTTCAGACGTGTCGATACATGCCCTGCATGAGAAAGACATTAAATTAAAAGAGATAGGCTTTAGATAGACATTAAATTAAACGAGAAAATGTAATGGAACTAACTTATATTTTAAATAGATACACATATATATTAATATTATTATATACTCTTGTAATATGATTACCTCCAAATGTTACCGTCATGGAAAACAACACAATCATAAGTAGGTCCTACATCACAATATTTTTTTTCAATGTTATTCAATATTTCAATTCTAGCTTCAAGCTCTTCTTTTTGTAGTTTTTCTTCTAAAGTCGACAACTGTGGATTCTTGCTTTCAAATTCCTGTGCATTAAAATTATTTAAAGTGGAATAATATCATTAATTGTTCATAAATAATTGACTAATTATTTTAAAACAAATTAAATAATACATAATACTGTATCAAATAATATGTACCATTTTATAACAACAATACAAGATCTTTAAATTCTTATATTTTTTAATATTTTCTGTGTATATTTTCTCTATACACTTACACTATTTTGTATCTTTAAATATCAGTAATTTTAATAACATATACATAACATGGCATAAAAAAATTAACCAGGTTAATAAGAATGGTACATATAGTATTAATATAATGCTTTGCTTAAGTTGATATTATGTAATGAATCAATGTCTTTACAATAGATCAATCTGCCAAATACAAATATAGCATTAGATACGGATCACTGTGGCGTGTTGTGAAATAGCGACCTGATTTAATTGCATGATCTGACATGCTCACAATACTCCTATCTTTGGATCACATGGACTAAAACTCTAATTATAATGCACCCAGACATGTTTTCACTGATTTCCAGTAATTATTGTGATGTCAGCAATATTATAGTTACATTCATCAAATAAGATCATTACACAAAAAAATAGTTTTATACTTATATTGCAAAGAAAACTACAAAAGATTCTAATAATTTTAATTTAAGATATCAGAAAGAATGAGAGAAATAGTTTCAGACAAATTACTAATATCTTATATATAAAAAATTCTATTATTATATTCATGTATCATACTTGTAATTGTCTCGAAGCTTCTGCAAGCGCTGTTTTATGACCATCATCCCAAAGACGCTTCTTACGTTCTGCCACTATTCTTTCCTTTAATTTAGTAGGATATAATGAATACAAATTTTTTAAACCAATATGATATTCTCCAGTGGGATTATTCCACTTAGATGGAACCTAAATATAAAACATTAAAAATTTAAATATAAAAATTGCTACCTTAAAATACTGCTACCTTACATTAAAAATAAAAATGTATATATCTTGTGTAATTTATTCATAACTATTTTTAAAGCATTCTTCACATAAATATTAATTATAACATATAAATTATAATTTTTATACGTTTTTTTTTGTCTATAAGAATTTTACTTTTAAGTAAATAACTTTATTCATAATTGCTATTTATATATAACCAGCATTAAACTGTAAATTAATCATTTACTATATATCCAACAGTCATATTAAAAGCAGAGAACATGCAACAAAATTTTTTTTGTGACATAATATCTCTTAATATGCAGTGGAATGTTTCACAAACCTACCTTTAATTTACGACCAGTCAAGCCAATTATATAGCCATCTGGTGCTTGAACAACTTTGCTAGTATCTACATCTCCTGCTCCACTACAGTCGAATCTTTCGATAATTTTTGGTTTTCCATCTGAAGTTATCTAACAATAAGTCCCAAATTATATTTACAAGTAATAATGACTATTTTATATATATATATGTGTTTACAAGCTTCTTGTAAATTAATCTCTTTACACACACAAAAAGGCTATCTTATAAAATTTTTTTATAAAAAATTTAAGCTTTTTGTAAAACAATTTACCAAAAGCTTGCAATATATATATACATACAAGACATTAAAGAAAGAATTTAAGATTTTAGGACAGATATATACTATAAGTTAAGTAAAAAAAGTAGCTTAATAAAACTTAATAAAGAGATAAAAAAAAAAAAATCAGTTCTGTCAGAAGCAATTTTTTATACTTTTAATGTAAATCCTTCTTTTAACATCTTGTATATTCAAGATAATTAAAATCATGTATGTGTATATATCTAAGAAGCTCTATATCCTTATAAAGATATAAATTTAACAAAGATTTCCAAATATAAAAAATATATATAATAAATGTAATAATATAACTTCACAGAATTTTTTGTTAAACAACGAATAATATATGCAATAAAATATTATGTTATGATATAATATAATATAAGAATAATTATAATATTTTATAACGTGAGCTTATAATCGTTGTTAAAGACTTTAAGATAAAATATTAGCATAAAAAAATAAAATGTAGCAACCTGCTGACAAAACTTCCCCCCCCCCCCTCTCCATACACTAGTATAATACAAAAAAATCATCATATATAAAGAAAATAAATAGCATGACTTTTATCTTTCAAGGAGAGACAATTCACAAGATACACAGAAACACTTCAAATTAAGAAAGTACGAGGAAGTCGAGTTATTTGTTAGACGAAATACAGTTATTTTTGCGAATTGTCACATTTCGAGAATAAGAGAACAGTCCGAAAAGAATATTATAAGAACGTAACGCTTTGTGGAGTTTTTTGTACGGAGAGGCGTGTCGACATACACAATAACCAAATGCCGCTGGATATTCATCCCCGCGCTCACCTGCATACCCGGGGCCCCGGGGTCCACCCCCGAGTCAAAGATCGCGATGACGACGCCCCGACCATCGTATTCGGGATATTTAGTTAGGAATTGAGTGACACCCGTCTCTTTCTTAGGCAGCAGGCCCCAAATAGGAAAGTTACAATCAATGACGCCTGCCATATTTCGAATGCCACCGTGACTATCGGAAAAACCACACTCGGGATGTTTCCTTTGTACTGTGCCACGGCCTTATATATCAATCAAAAAACGGGATCTGCGCCTGCGTGCGCTCCGAAAACGCCAAATTTTGAGGTTATGTTAGCGACGAACGGTAAAACATCGTCCCGCAATAATTCCGTTAAATCTTCGAATGTAAATGCTCAAGATGGCAGCACCACGATCGTAGGACCGTGGTTACGTCAATAATTATACACACACAGATACACGTGTGTGCATAGTAGATGCAGCATGCAGCCGAAGCGATCGAACCATCGAACGCACGATTAGTCGGTGTTAGTGCGCGTCAGAGAGGTTATGTTTCTCTCTCTCTCTCTCTTATCTCGTGTGTATACATATTTTGAATAAGTGCATAAATCAAACTGGCTCGATCATACCCGATCGTATTTTCCGCGTATGTACGCGGGGAAAGTGCGATACTTGTCCGATAAGTCGCGGCGAGAGTGACGTAAGCGTGTGAATCGACGAGTCATGTGCAAATTTAAAGCATGGTTATCACGCAACGAAAGATGAAGCAGGTTGCGATCTTCACGGTTTGCATATTATTGGGTGAGTGATTTGAAGATGACAACTGTATCGCGATAGTGATGATCGTCGACCGTATTCGGTAAACTAACCGACCTGCTCTTGGACCTCTTCGCGCTCTGTTTAGTCTCTTCACGATTAATATTAGAGCCAAAAACGTAGTGTATAATAAATAATCGAAATATGTAATAATTTAGCGAACTTTTACGGTCATATTATCACGCTCGCCCTTCCGAATACTATGAATTTATTTCCATTTTCGATCCTATGAATTTGTGACATTAAGTTCGCGATTTTTTAAATCTCGTAGCTTTCTCTCTTTCTCTTTTTTTTTTTTTTTGTTATTGGGATTTAATATGTCGTTCGTACAACACAGCTGTTTTATGCTTATACGTTTATATAATAATAATTATATCTGTTGACTTATATATATGACTTATATACAGTTGTATTAATATATATATACACACTATACATACTTCTATAGAATGCTATAAATTATAATTATATAGCTAGAAACTAGAAATAGCACAAGATATCTTTAGCAGGCTCCTATTTCTCAAATTCAAACTTTACCTCGAACATTGAAAGATTTCTCAAGTGTACATTAAATAAAAATTATTGAGATAAAACAGGAGTGTATAAAAGACAGCTGTTCGATAAGAAACGTGTTTCATAAATCGAATCATTCTGCCATAATTAATCATCCGTAATGTCGCGACATTATCGAAAAGTATTATCTACTTTATCGAATTAAATTCTGTAATAAAACTCTTGACTCTCTTTCCATTATGAAATAAATCAAATGCTTCATTATTCTTTATTCCAAGTATTGTTGAGCACAAATAAAAAAAATTATTATTTTGGAAATTGTATTGTGTGTCGTCTTCTGTAAAGCAACAACAATCGACAATAATATTCTAACTTATTGACAACGAAAGAATTTTCTTGGAGCGCGGATATACAGCATAATTTATGATTTATGTAATGGCTATTTAACTTCGCATTAAGAACCACTAAGCGTGCTGATAATGAACGTTGAAAATAGGATAGTCATAGAAAAGTGGAAAAATTGTTTGAGCATTAATTGCTGATTAGTTTTATCTTAAGTAAACTATTATTAGATAAATAAATAGATAGATAAAAAGAAGGAATAACGATATATTGGATGAAAAAGCTAAACATTGCAAGAAGCAGGAAATTTAGCATTTTATTAATTTGAAAATATTGCTGAGATCTAATAATCTGTATAAGTATTTAATTATGTAATTGTAAAACAATTTGATGAATAAAGCGAATATTATTCATGTACACGCAAAAAGCCAATTGATAGGATACGAACAATAAGATACATTTATTTAATTTTATTCATTTATGAATTTTAAATAACTGTTGTATTATTGTGAAATTTTATTAAAATAATACGAAAGTTGTTAAATATTGTTTTTCTCTCGCTTCTAGCAGTGTTGGGCTTTTATAAAACTGTCGTGACTACAGAAGAGGAACGATCTTTCGGCCGCGGTCGACATCGCGGGGATAAGATTAATTTAGGTGATAGAAACGACGTCGTCGAAGCCGCAACTGAAAAGATTCACGATGTCGAGGAGGAGCCATCCGATGGAGACATCAAGAACATCGAGGAGGCGAAGATTCGCATCCGCGAGCTGGAGGGCAAGCTGCAACATCTCGAGGCGGCGATCAAAAATGGTATAGCGAAGGACTTTCCAACGGTCAAGTTTCTGAATTATAAGAACCGAAAGCGAATACTGGTGACGGGTGGCGCGGGTTTCGTCGGCTCCCATCTGGTTGATCGTCTGATGCTCGCCGGACACGAGGTTATAGTCGTCGACAACTTCTTCACCGGCAGAAAGCGAAATGTCGAGCACTGGGTCGGTCACGAGAATTTCGAGTTGGTACATCACGACATCGTGAGACCGTTGTATCTGGAGGTCGACGAGATATATCATCTCGCTAGTCCGGCCAGTCCGCCGCACTACATGTTAAATCCCGTAAAAACGATAAAGACGAACACTTTGGGTACTATAAATATGTTGGGTGAGTAGATCTTATTGTAAATGGAAGGAATAAATATGAAAACAGAGATAATGTTATGTAATTTATCTATAATATTTCAGGACTCGCGAAACGAGTCGGCGCGCGAGTATTAATTGCGAGCACGTCGGAAGTATACGGAGATCCTAATGAACATCCACAAGCGGAAACTTACTGGGGTCATGTAAATCCTATCGGTAAGATTGATTTTCTTTATATTGTTCGCACAAATTGAATAATTTGTTGAATAATTGATAAATTCTTGATGTATGTACAGGTCCACGAGCATGCTACGACGAAGGAAAACGAGTTGCCGAAACATTGAGCTACGCTTATATGAGACAGGAAGGTGTTTCAGTCCGAGTAGCACGAATTTTTAATACCTTCGGCCCCAGAATGCACATGAATGACGGTCGTGTCGTATCAAATTTTATCCTCCAAGCTTTACAAAATAATTCAATTACGATTTATGGCAGTGGAGAACAAACGCGATCGTTTCAATACGTCTCCGATTTGGTAGACGGATTAGTAGCGTTAATGGCATCTAATTATACCTTGCCTGTGAATATCGGAAATCCCGTGGAACATACAATCGAAAGTAAGATTTGCTTGTTATATATAATTTTTTCTAAGTCTTTTTTGATATTTGTCTAAAATTTAACATTTTAATTTGTTTCAGAATTTGCGCTTATAATAAAAGATTTGGTGGGTGCTACTAGTAAGATAATTGAACTCGCAGCAGTCGAAGATGATCCACAGAGAAGAAGACCGGATATTAGTAGAGCCAAAAAATATTTGAATTGGGAACCAAAGGTTCCTTTGGTTGAAGGCCTGAAGAAAACTATAGTATACTTCGCTAAAGAATTGCAAAGAACAAAACATTTTCAAAAAAGTAATTCTAAACAGTCTTCTTATAAAAACGATCACGATATAGTAGAACAACTTTAGAGGATCAAGTGTAATGATACGCGATTAATGTATCCACTTTCAAAAGTGGCGTGAAAGTGCCATTAAGCTATGGACCAGTATGTGCCAAAAAATCCCCGTCCAATCAAATTTTACATTAAATTTATAAAGCAATCGATATACAATTATACGCTCATCTTATTAATCAGTCTTTTAAATTTCTTCCTAATATATATATGCTGTGTTCCTCCTAGTAATAATTTAAAATTAATTTTTATTTTTTTTCCATGACTATGTATTATATAATTTGATAATAATTTTATTTCAAATATATATTTTAAAATATATATTTACAATACATAAATAAATTTATGTATTAAAATATCTTTTACACATTAAAATATGTTTAAATATATATTTGAAAATATGTTTTCTACTATATTTATTTCTTTTATTATTGTAATGAAGCATTGTCTATATTAAATCTCAATGTATAGATTCTAAGTAGGAGATATAATTTTTATCTTTTAATTCATGCGTATGATCTCTGCGCATTCGTATAAGTTTCTTAAGTAAAATTGAAAATGGTGCTGGTGATATAAGAGAATGTGTTTTCTTTTCTTTGTAATATATTAAAAATCGCATGTAATCTCTCTCTCTTGAGCATAAACAAATTTATTTAGCTCTTACATATAAACATGTTTAAATATAGCTATCCAACGTTGTATCCGCCTTTATTTTCTGTATTGTAAATAATGTTATTACAAATGTGTACTTGTAATATAAACTTTAAGAAACATTTATATAAGTTACTTTTAAAAATCTAGCAGTAATGTGAAAGTTTTGTCGACTCTTGTACAATGCCATCGAAACGAATGATATTTATAATGCCGATAAAAAGTAACATATATTTATATTAGAACTGTACTATATGATATTAATATTTAGTATGATCACATAAACTCTCCGTAAGACTGTAATAACAAACACAGTGTGTAAACAAGAAAGTAATTTTATATTTTATATATAAGTAAAGAGCAGGGAGAGAAATATTATTAGCAGAAAAAAATCATCTCTTTATATATAACAATAATATA